CAACAAGTAGAAGGGCTCTTTAATAAACTAGATTTAAAGACTCACCCAAATATGTCACTTGACTTGAAGCAATCAAAATTACGACTTTCATCTGGAAATATAAATGAAAATAATATTGCTCAGGGACTTTCGGATATTCGAATTAAACGTAAAAACCAATCACAAAAAAATCATATAGAAAATATAAAAACTTACGGAGAAGAAGAAGCAACTAAAATGTTTTTAAACTTATTTCAAAATTAACATTAGTCGCATTAGTATTAGGATCTTTAGAAAAAATAAAATAAAAAATGTTATCGTTATACTGTATTTCAGTATATTTATTATATATATCGGATATATGAAATAAAAATCGTGATCATCTCAAAAAAAAAAAAATTTAGTACCATTTTTAATATATGACTATACATATATTTGATTTACATAGTGCATATACTTTTAGAAAATTAAATCCTAATATACTTTCATTTATTAGCGGACTGACCGTACGAACGTATGTACTTACAAGTTTCAATTCTTGCCTAGAATATGATCAGGCGTAATGTGAAACCGCTTCCTTTGAAATCAAAATTTTGCATAAGAAACTATTTCCTGCATGCTAAACTAAAAAAAAAATTTCGCAAAATTTTGGTATGCATTACTCGCTATCTCTATCACTAATTAAACCATTTTAACAGATGATACGTACGTACGTACGTACGTGCGTAAAATCAGTACAATAATTACTGTCGATTGAAACCTTAGTAGATTCCAATTCACGTAGTACAATTAAGTTTCTGTATACTATTTTTAAATGACGCCAAAAAAAATGGTGCAAATTTTGTCTAGCAAGCAATTTTTAGCTGCATAACGATAATTATAGTAACATTGAGTTGGCAGAAATGCACAAAAAAAAATCTTTTTGAAACTTGAATAAAAAATTCTGAGATTACTTTTACAAATTTATTTTATTATAGCGTTTTGCAAAAAGATGTGGCGACATGATTTTTGTGATAATGGTAGGAAAAATTTCTGGGGTTAAATTGCCTATTACTACATATTTCGATCAAATCGGTAAAATTCTTAAATCTATAGAATCTCCGATTCACAGAGGCCACATATTGCAAAGCACAATAAATTGATTAAATTCAAGTTTTTAAAAATTTCAGAAATTGATGTTCTATCTAACTCATCTCATGCAATAAATAATAAATATAACTTGAAATACAACATAAGTTACGTACAATGTTACAGTTGATACTCAATTTTCAAAAAATAATGTATAATTTAGAATCTGATGATAAAATAGATTGTCATATCAGATGTCAATATAGCCGAAATGAGTCATTAAGGTTTTTAGATTGGAAGGCATAACTGAATATCATCTGGGCTAATTTTGCTTATTAGAACTTTTTTTTTTGGTACAAAAGGTTCCTTAAATTATAATTCTTTGTAGATATTAGACAGTCAA